TTAATTCTGTTGTACCTCCTTATCTTGAGGACTGAGAGGATGGGGGAGAGAAGTGACAGCACAAGTTATACACATTCAAACCTTCTAGCCCCTCCCTGATGCTGGATTATCCAGCAGTGGGTCCCCATGGTCTAAATCATTCCCTCAGGCTCTAAATTGGGGATTTGAAATATAATGGTGCAAGTCAATATATAAACAAGAAAACCAAAGACACAAAATGTAAAGCACATATGTCAAAGAAAATCTTCCATGTACAGATAAATACAATTGGAAAAGTAACCAGCAGTTATCAACACTCTAGAGAAATCAAAGTGCATTATGAAACATGGCAAATTAATCTGAAAAGGCCCCTTCCTTTTATTTTTAAATTTCCTTGGTGACCCAGGACACTTGGTTAAGCTCCCAGGCTCTGCCCACAGAGCCACTGCCTTCACTTCAGCATCCTGGGCCTCAGCGTCCTCCTTTGAACAAAACTATCTACTTACAACTTAGAGTGATACAAGCACTATATACATCAAAAGCACTAAATGAAAGTTAATCATGTATTATTATCCAACTATTAAGATGTGTTATCCTCATTATGACATAGGAAATTAGATGCCTGGCAGAGCAGACTGTCAATACTCTTTAAGATTACTTTTTCAATACATATTTTTGAGTGAATAAATGTATGAATATGTGAATAAATTTCAAAGGTTAGTCACGCATATGAAATCAATAATATTCATAATGATGCTGGATATTCTCTTGAAAGAATGTGATTTTTAATATTTATTTAAAACTTAAAGAAACATTTCTTCATATTTTGGGACTGAAACAGCAGTCCATTTTGTTTTTAAGAAAAACACTTCCATAACAATAAATTGTTGCACCAGTATTATTTATAATACTGAAAAGTCAACTGAACATTTAGTTTACTATATGCATATAGAAATGACTGTCAAGTTTCAGAAAATCAACCTCATGCTAAGCTTTAGGAGGGCAGGCAGTTTCCTTTATCTGTTTTGCTAGTACTACGTTAGATTCTCAGAAGCTGTCAGAGAAAGGAAAATTGAAAAATCACCTTTCTTAATATTACTTCTAAAAGAAATGTTTGGATTTAAGGTTATTTTACATATATTTTACTAATTGAAAATAAAATTGAGAAGTCTCACTGACTTGAGGACTTGGCTTGGAAATCTCTTTTCACCAAGTGAGAAATGAAATAGAAAATGATCCAATGCCTTAAAAAAAGTGAAAGTCGTGTGTGTGTGTGTGTGTGTGTGTGTGTGTGTGTGTGTGTGTGTGTATGTGTGTGGGTGTGTTAAACAAGAGGAGGAAAGAAGGATACTGCAGATTAAAATCTCTCAGAAATATTGGACCTGAATACTAGAAAGAAAACATTAGGCTGTAGAAATAATAGCTGACCTTTTACTTGCAACAAAATGATCTATCCCTGTATCAGAATGTATATCTTTAGCCAAAGTTTAAATTCAATGTCTAAACTCCAGGGAAAATTAACATCAAAATATAAATGTTTCACTATAAATTAAAATGTTGTCCTTTTTACCTCCTAATTTACCTCCCAAATCCATAACTCTGAAAGTTTCCAACTAYAGGCTTTCTTGTCACCAAATCAGACTTTGTTTTCTCCTACTCGGTTGCAGTTTAGAATACGACATCCAACTTATCTAACCACATCCACTGAAAAAAGCTAAAGCAACAACAAAACACCCAACCTCAGATCTATAATAAACTAAGCAGGTTTTTTTTTATGTCTTAGAACATTTCATAAAAATAAACAAACGCATGATACACAGAACTTAAACACACGTCAATCTATTTGGGCAGATTTATGATAGGAAAGTAATAGCAGAAATAAAGGTATGGGTTTCAAATCAAACTACATACCTACTTATGGAATTTCTGCTGCAGAAAACCTTGCAAATATTAGCAAAGAAAACATAAGTATTGCACCAAAACATAAGTATCCATTATAAAATCAACACTTCAAGATTTACCATGGGGCAAGGACACAGACTTCGCAAATCAGGACTTTTGGGTCGGTCATTAACCAGCACCTTCACTTTAATCTCTAGGGACACTAGCTCCTTCGATTGTCAAAGGAGGAGCCTAGGAAGGATAATCCCTTTTAATTCTAAGACTCCAAGTCCAACTGGACACTTGCTTAGCAAGTGTCAGACAATCCTCCTAAGAGTGTTGGAGGCAGGGGGTGTTGAACACCCAGGCAAATTCCTTGTGATTTCCCATTCCATTCCCTCCATCTCATCCTCTGGTCTCTGGAGGGACTCTACCTGCCCACAAAGTTGACTTTCTGCTGAATGTAACATTCAGGGAGCCTGTAGCCATTCTTGCTCCTAAAGTATTTTATTACATTAAACAAAACCAAACCTTTAACATACAGTAAAATGTGAATACTGAATTTTATGCTGAAATTTCTCACATGAGTGAATAACAAAACTCTGTGGGAGAAGTAAAGCCATCTCCTAGCATTTCTTGGTATTGAGTTCCATTCTGCACAAGAGTAAGGCAATATTTATTTTTCACCATTATATCTACATCATCAAATCTCAAACAGGAGAAACAGTGAATTCATCAAAGTCACTATATATTTTGGGTTTAGGCCTTAGAAAGCCTGTATCTCTCATGTTAATAATCATCTCTCATTTTAAAAAATATAATGGAGAAGTAAATGGAAAATAATTTGTAATGGAAATACTCCAAGTATTAGATTCATGAATTCATTCTAAAAAATAAACAGAAGATGATGCAGCAAAATATAAATATAAAACACAAAAAATGTCCCCTCATTTAGAAAAGCTGATTTTTTTTCAAAATATTAAATGCTAAAATAATTAAATGCTAAAAAAATTTCAAAATTTAGCCATTGCTAAAATTTGATTTCTTTTTCCCGGTTTTTCTTTTCTTTCTTTCTTTCTTTCTTTTTTTTTTTTTTTAAGAAAGGAAGACTGTAATTATAACTCACATTGAAATTTCAGCCTAGTTCCATCACTGAATTATTAGGGTGGGGTCTTCAGCTACACAAGGTTATGTGTTTTTCCCAATGCGTCTTGAAAGAAATTCAACATATGACTTCAAAACCAAGTCCTAAATTTCATTTTGTCATTCTGTTTAAAATTGTCTGCATTCAATTCATTTTCCATGATCATATCAAGTAAATTCACAATTATATTCATAAACAACAGTAAGGCAGAATTTACTGGCTGAATGTTGGTGTCATTTAACAAGTAATTCTCCCTTATACTATCAATAAATATTAGTATTAGCATCCTCTTCTCCAGCTCATAGTAGATGCCTTAAGTCTATAAATTTACTTCTAAGATCAATGGGATATTTAGTAACATGAAGACACATGAGATTCCTATACTGGATGCTTACATTATATTTGAACTCTGAGTTAAAATAACAACAACAACAAAGTTTAGTCCTAGGTCATTTCAAATGTCCATATGCTAATAATCAAGTGACTTGTTATCTGGAGTTGTCTGTAAAATACTCCAGAAGTAAGAGTCACCCTGTTTCATTATGTCATCCTTTTAGTTTAAGTCCATTTAATTAATTTAAATTACTCTTATTTGATGGTTATAGATTCATGTGCTATCTATTACAAGGGTCAGAGAGGCAAGATAAAAACAGATTAGCTGAAGGTGTAACTGAATTAATTGACAAAAAAATGTTTGCTCTAAATTGCAAGAAAGGGATACTTAACATACACAGAAAATATTTAATCTGTGKCTACAGCTTAATTTAGAATTTGCCACATCCTAAAATTGCTAATGAACATCAAAATAATGTTGTAGGACTCATGTTGCACACCTAAAATGCATGGAGTCTCCATGAAACAGCAGCACAAAAGCCCACAAGCTTCCTTCCAAAGGTACTCAATAATCTTCATGAGCTTTACATTAAACATACATCTGCTATTCAGGTTATAGTAGAAATATACTTTGAGTCTCTTTCAACTGCAGAAATGTTGACAGCAGAGTCATACAATYCAAGTCAAATGACTAACAGACTAATATTCAGAATTCCATTTTAAACTTGAATTAAAATAAAACTTAAAAATCTAGTTACACCACCACTATTATACCATATATCATGAAATGACTTTAAAATGGGTTTGGGCACTGAGGGACAGAATTATAACACATTAATAGTGACCGTGTAAGCAGATTATAAAGAACAGGCCCACAGCATTCTTTTTCTTTTCTTCTTATCTGAAATCATCAGAGAATTATAAAAAATAATGTTTGGTTTTAAATCTGGAAGCAAGGGTAGTCCCTACCTAGAGTTTTAGTTACCGTCCACAAACATTCATTCCAAAAAATAGTATAATAATAATAATAATAATAATATCAGTCTCATTTCAAAAATCACTAATGGTATAATAGGCATCTCTGAAGGGGTGGGAGGAGATTCTGTTTCCCCCTCCCCCAAAAAAAGATACAAAACTGGCTATAAAATCCCAATGAACAATAACTAATTTGACCTTTTGATCCAGGAAAGAGATTTCTGTTCTTATTTTTATAATTATTTTTACTAAATACTTCCTTTTCCATTTCTGTGCAATGAACTAAGGTGCCAATAACTGTACTCTTACTTTGCTCAGAGAGCATGGTGAAGTTCTGCATGCTAACAATGACAGTCATTCCCATGCAGCTCTGAGAAAAATCTTACCACCTTGACTCTTCCTTAAAAAGGGCACTCCAGAGAATATATAGCTACCATGCTCAGAGCACTCAGGGGATGAGTTTAAAAACTAGCTAGCAGAGTATTGGAGTCAAATGTTTTTCCTATAAAGGCTCTGATCAGAATGAATCAGGAATATTTTAAAAGGTCACCCATGGTCAAGTCACTTGGCATTTTTCTGGCACATTCCTGCTTCAGGTACCAGTTGCTTTAAACTGTGGAACCCCAGCACACCTCCAGTCGAGGCTGCCCAAGACGCCTTATTATTCATCACATGCTATGCTAAGTACCTGTGAAAGGGGGCACTCCTTGGCCAACGAACTCTGATTCATATCTTTCAGTAAGTCCTTCAGAGCATTCCTTACTGTGGTGTGCGACCATTGTTCGGGAGGCAAGTCTTCTAGTTTGGGGCAACTATTTGAGACATAGATTAGAAAGGGGATTATTACAAGATTGCATCCCGCTGCAGAACATTCCTTTAAGACAGACAGATTTCATTTTGCGCATCAAACAGATGCATCTGGAGATTGCTCTCGGTCTCCTGATTGTTCCGATTAGTTAATTACTTTATACAACACATCTGCTGTATCGATGCATGAATTATACATCAGCTGCCTGTGGTGGCTATTTTTTCATGTTACTTCTACCTTCCTGCTCTGATGCGCTTGGGAAGACAATTTAAGGTGTACTGCTTTCTCACGAGCCACCGTGAAAAGCATTAACCGTATTAACTGATTTCCTTTCATTACTCTGTTCATACGAACTAAAATGGAAAAAAATATATAAATAAACAAGATCGAGGCAATAGTGAATAAGGCATTCTTTCACAAAATGTACACAGATGGCACTGTTCATGATATGCAAAAATATTTTTTTCTTAAGTAAACTTTATGTAAAATGCCTTCTTGTAATGCATCATTTAATTGACTAAATGTAAAAAAAAAAAAAAAAAAAAAGTCCTGCCTTTTGATAACCTGCAAAAACCTACAAATTTGGGGAGAGGTGTCTTTATACACTGAAGTTAAGGAAAAAAGCAGAAGGAGTTAAGGTAAAAAAAAAAAAAAAAATCAATCTGGATTAATGTTTCTGAAATTCAGGTTAAATAAAAACAGAAGACTGCCCAGAGATGCTTTATTTCAAAAGACCAGGTAAAGAGAATATTTTGCCCTAGAATCGCTGCCTTGACTCACCTGTGTAACTGAATTTTCAATGTGACCACATGATACACATCTTGAAGCATATCTGCTACCGTAGCATCAGGGGCATCTGTCACATAAGACAGTGGAACTGGATTCCACTTTCCAACCTGGATTAGCCCTATTCCAGATAAAGAGAATATGTCACTGAATATTTTACTCTCAGATACTATATCTAGTTGAAGTTTTTTTTTTTTTTCCTCCATTGCCCCCACCACAAGCAATATTGTTATTTCTGTTTGAAATGATTCCCTTCCCTCTAAAAGGCAGGTCAATGAAAATATTCACAGCTTAGCTTTCCAAATCGTGAAATTATGTAAATGACTATAGGGTTGTTTATTATTTTGGAAATAAAACCCCATCAATAAAACCTATGCATAAGGCCACATTTTCCTAACTTAAAGAAAGTTCTAATAAGACATAGCCGAACCAGTTCTAAATGGCTTTACGATTTAGATAAGATTCTCTATTGCAGTGGGAATCAGCATTGAAAAATACTTTACAGCCCATAAAACCATCAGAAACAGAATAAAAGAAACAGAACTAGATATTCAGTCATAAATGCAAATTGACTCTCAACAGTCCATCTGCTCAAATACGCTCCTCACTTCCTTGTGGGTCCTCAGTGGAGCAGATTATTAAGGTCAATAAGCATACTAATGATTCAGCTGAAGTAATTTAAAAAAAAAATCTACCTCGACATTCCACATGAGCAAAATGTGTGTTAACTAAACCAAACTGAATTAAGCCAATTTTTTAAAGTCACAGTCTATAAGGAAGCAATGTAAAACACAGGCTACAGTTATCTGAATAAAAATATTCACTGCTTTCTCTTCGAGGTAAACAAAGGATGCCAAGCAATTTTTCCAACCCCACGTATGCATTATTTACCTTTGGCCTGGGCAGCAGAGCTATGTGAATAACCTAGAGACAGCAATGCCATTTCTATCAGCTGGTTGAAAAGCATATCCTTTCTCACCAACACAAATTCCGCATGCTCCTCCTTGCAATCATATTCAATGGCGTTTTCATAATGTTCTACCACGCAGAAAACTGGTAGCATGGTTCCTATCAAAAAGACAGAGAAAAAGAGACAGAAAACAACAATCTTCAGAAATACAGTCTGGGGGAAGGAAAACCTAAGCTATGAAAACAAATCTTCACAACAGTGAGAAGAGACTGTGCTTCCAAGGCAGACTGGGCAGAAAAATGCAGGCACACACACACACACATATAAATATATACAATCTTAAGTTGTAGGGGAAATATTCAAATAGAATGTGAACTTGGTCCTAAGATAACTTGGTCCCTGCTCTAATTTTAATAGTGCATTTTCCAAAAGCAATGAATGCAGAATTACCTTTTTGATAAAATAATAATGCTGACAAGAGAGAAATAAGTGTGTCTTATCTCATTTGCTGAGTAGTTTACAGTATGCAAACAACTCGCTGCAGTTGTCTGAACCCACCTTCTTGCTGCCTACATGCTTTTGTTAATAATAAACTTTTCCTGTTTGTGTCCAAACAAATTATCTTTGACTATAAAATGATCATTTTCTTGCTTTTTGAGATATTTACTCCCATTGGTTCCATAAAAGAAACAAAAAACCAAACTGATGCTTCTAACATATAATTTCAATATGTGCACCATGTAGATAAATAACATTTACTTTTGTGACTACTCATTTCATCTACCTGACTAAAAAGACACTATGCTGGCCATAAGTCTTTAAAATTAACTATCTCAGTAGATATGATAAAAATGAGAAAGAGAAAAGGAAACTGGCCTTATCAGGATATATTAGGATCAAGGAATCTGCATGGATTTGAGGTGCTCTCTCCTGGTTTACTTTAATCCAGTAGCCAAATGATTAATAAGCACAGACCATACCACTGTTAGAAAAGAGGCTTGTTCCAGAAACTGAAATCATCAACTGCTGTAGTTCTCAAGGTGTTTATGCAGTGCACTATCAGACCTCCAATGATAACAGAAAAGGGTTAAAAACAGATGCATCTGAACTGTACTGTGGCAAACTGCCAGGAGGGTATCATCTTTAGCATAAATGATGACACGGGTTACTTTAACAGGGCACCCAGGATCCCCAATTAGTCCTACAACATCCATGCCTGTATAAGCTCTCTGTCCTCTGGACTTGCAGAATCCTACCAACTTCTGAAGATACCTAGTGCATACCAACCGTCACTGAAAATCAGGGTTTCCTACTGACACCAGAGAGGCCCTTTACAAATTCTCTATTTGCTTGTTTCTGATGAACAAAAGCCGGCAATAAAACAGCTACATTTTTCCACATGTGTGTCTTCACCAAAGCTTTAGTGAACTGTTCACAAGAGATTCTAGCCCTGACAAATAAACCCCTTTAGGTTTACTTAGAAAAGCTCACAAACTCATTCGGAAGTACCAACAGGCAAGGCATGAAAAACAAGCCGCAGAGCTTGCCAATATTCTTGTCATTCATTCAGCTGTTTTATACCAGAGAGAGAACCCGTCAGGGATCAGAAGACGGCTTGGGAAGACCACAGCAAAAATAGCAATATGCAAACTGGTGATTTCTTCCTTGGCTTGAAGGTATTTTGGCAAAATCTCCTAAACAAATGAAAATATTCAACCCCTTTTTCCTAGTAGTGCTTTCTCATCTCAGCCACAATTTTTATCTAGCACCTGTCAAACAGAAACCATGCACATGAAAAATAAGATGATGGTGCGGGGGGGAACCACCAAAAGGCTTTAGTAATTTCGTTATTTGGATTTAGCACAGATCTTTCTACAATTAAAATGCATTTTAAAATAAGTCATTATGAATACATTTTTCAAAAAAGCATTTGAGCAGGAAGTGAAATTACTATACTGTGGTTCCTCCTCCCTCTGTGATGTCTTCAAAGAGTTGGTTTAGTATGACAAAAAGATATACATTGATTTTTCCTCTTATGGCATGAAATAGATATGTTCTACTACATGCTGCTTCTCAGACCTATGAAAAAAATTAGACAGACCCATGACATAACTGTAGGCTTTTCGAACTATTAAGAGATACTGGATATACTTTGTATTTTATTGATCACATTCACAGGCACCTTTATAGATAATAAAGGTGGCTATAGATAAAGCAACAGTAGTATCATCTAATTACAAATCTAGCTGCTAAATCTTCTAGCAAACTGTCACGGTTACCCTCCTGTTACTGGGAGTAATGCTAAACAGGAGCCTTCTCTGAACTGTCTGATTATTCGTGCTAGTGTTTGGCAAGACTTCCAACTACAGCAACTTCATAACCTTCCAGCATTAAAAGGGGAGAGCACTGGTCACTGCTGAATGCTAAAAATACCACATGATTTAAACCTGAAGGCAGTCTTAGAAGCTTTTGCTGAAGGTTTATGAGCCTGTGTAAACAGCACGTCTGCCATAAGGAGCAGTGAAGTCTGTAGAATCCTTGTCTAAAACTGTCCTGGCATTAAAGTTTGCTGTGCAAATATCACATAATACCAGAGACAGCTGAAATCTCCTATTTAGGAATTTATGGAACTTATATGTTTGCAGGCGTCAGAAAGTCTTTTTTATAGAGCCCCAGTGCTTCACAGTACAATATTAATGCACTCTGTTTGAAAAGCTGTAATAAATTATATTTTTAATGCTCTTACCCTGGCTTTCTTAAGATGCATACATTCTTGGCAAACAATCAATAAATAGGGTAATCATGAGTAGAGGCCAAAGAATTTGCTGAAGTGCTGTTTTTCCATTTTTAATAGATAAAGATCTAACAATACGGACTGCTGTGTCTGTTCATTTCAGGATCAATATATTCTTTGTTTTCACCAAACCAAGAAAAAAATAAATGATTGTATGATAAATGTTATGCATCAAACACAATGAAATTCCTCTGCCTTCTAACTTTATCTACTTAATATTCCTGGTTGCTAAAAGATGGCATTTTTATCCTTTGCTTAGCAGATGTAAGGAAAATCTGATTCTTATACATGTTATTCATAGACCAAATAAAGACCCTTATGAAGCACATACATAATACCACCATAGGCACTGCTTTACTGGAACAACAATGTCAAACACAAAGTTGTTAAACTTCATCAATTTAATACTGGTAGAAAAAGAGTCATGCAGGCTTGCACATCCTCCCTTTATAAACTTGTCTAAATCTGCCCTTCCTTTACCCAAAATACCCAAATATAGCCAAAATTTTAAAACCAGAATCATCAGGTTTTTTTACTGCTAAATAATGAGTTTGCTCTTCAGAAAATAAACCACAAAAATGACATCACCAAACTTTTATATCATCTTATGTAAGATTTCCATGATCTCTGAAATTGCCTTACAACTACTAATCCTATGAAAAGCTAGGGCGGTCCTCAAACAACCTAAGTGTCCTACTCTTCATCAGGGTTAGTTTAAGCAACAGCCACCTACATAGTCTTTATGACAGGAACACCTTATAAATGGACCCTTGTGTAAACTAAGACTACTATATTTAATTCCTTAAATCCTTATCATCCAAAAAAGTCCAATGATTCCAACCTTCAATAGAGTCAGAGGCTCCACCCAAGAATTGAGCATACACTTTCAACACATGATTGACATTACAACCCAGAATGTAACTCATTTCAGATCAGAAAGAATCCAGGAAAAGAATACACCAGTACCCCAACACAGTGACCTTGGGTAGACACGGGAGCTTGCAGCTTTCCAGGATTTGGCTCCAAAGTATTTACCTTTCCTAAGGTTGGTTTTCATCAGATGGCCCGAGTGTTTTAAAGGCACTCCCTGCATTTTTGCACCTGTACTCCCAAGCCTTCCTCTTCCTAGTGGGCTCCCGTTCTGCTCCAGGCGGGCAATCTTGGCTGGTGGACCCTTCGGATCGCTTACATTGTTAGACATTTCTGAATGTTCTTTCCCCTGAGTTGCCTCGTTCAAATGATCCATACTCAGTCACTGTCTAAAGATCACCTGCCAGGATTTAAAAAGAAGACATGTTACAATTGGTTGGGGGTCTGCGCCTATACATGTGTCCAACATAGATGTTTTATCTCTAAACATTTCTCTCCACAAATATATTTATAAAATTGCTTACCCTATATAAAATACAGATGTTACTACATTTCTAGATGACAGCAGTACATTTCTATTCAAGTTAATAGAACAATTTGTGGAAACCGTACCAACACACATGAATAAAAAGTTAATGTGGCATCCATAAACACAACTAAAAGCAAGAAAAATGGGTTTACTTTTAAAACAAGAATAAATACAAGCTGAAAAGAATAACAAGTTATGTTTATGTGGTCCCAATTTTAAAAATTACAAACTTATAACAGCAACATTATCACAGGAAAGATTATCACAGTCTAAAATATTAAATTTAATGCACATGTTTATAGTTTTACATATATTTTTATTTTATGGAAAAAATATCTCAAAAGAAGATAGCAAACATCTAAGTGCTTTTTAAACTCCCCATTGGCTTCACAAGTTAATAATGCTGAGAAAAAGTTTTCGGCTATTAAAGTTTCAAGAGTTCCTATAACCTGTTAAAGATCTGGTGGAGGCTTGGGTCAAACATGTGACTAGATCATTTCACCCCTAAGCAAACAGGAAGAAGTAGAGGGTTTCCTCAAATATCCTAGGTACAGGGGCATTACAATTCATCTTTCAGAGTCAATATTACTGTCCATTATTAGTGTCCATTACTAATAGAATGCTATTTAAAAACCAAAAACTTGAAAATACTTTGTGATATAAATAGTAGATTGAAGAGCCAAGCTCATTTTCAAAAAATTCTTAATGATACTGATTAAACACAATCTCCAGCATCAAAAAATAATCTCAGTATGCAACAAAGTTAACATTGTAATTAATTTTTATATAAACCAAACATTATCTTCAGTTATATTTTATATGGGCATCAATTTTCACACTACTTCTAATAAAAGTAACTAGCATAGTATCAAATCACTTCCAACMCAGAGTTTTAACTAGAACTGATAAGAAAAGGTGAGAAGAATTATTTCATGAACTTTTATCAGACATGAAGTAGTGGGCTTATCTACATTAAAGAGAACATACTAAGGAAAACCAGAGAGAATATAATTACCATTTTCTTCTAGCTGTCTGATAATCTGACATACCTTGTACTCTTTCAAAAAATTTTATACTAAAGCTATTTAGATCCAGATTTGTGAAAGCCAGTCTGTGTTAGCATGATTTTCCTATAAACATTTTCCCTTCCATTTAACTAGAATACTTCGTCCCATATAATCAAGAAAAGTGGGGGAGCAATGTTAATCTGGAGTTTTAAAATCAACTTTAAGAATGCCAACTGAAGAATTATAAAGTTTGAGAAATAATAATGGCTATTTATCTTTGACTCCAGGGTGGCACGCCAAGAACTAAAGGTTTACCGTTGATCGAGGTCCCATCTGTTTTTGGTTATGAGGTTCATTAACAATAAATGTGCCTTTTTTAACCACTTTTTATCAAGATTACTCTTTTCCATTATATTAAACTGCAGTCTAAAGCCAAAATTAGAGAGTGATGATTATTAACTTATTCAAAACACTCTTTATAATGTTCCATGTGGATTATAATGCAGAGCTGCTTTTTCTAAAATTGGTTGCCTTACCCTAGAGCAGAAGACAAATTTTAAAACATAATTTGAAAAGAAAATCTTTAACCCTTGGGGCAACCTAAGAGGGAAAAAAAATGTGGTGGAGACAAGTAGACAGCAGCATCAAAGTTAATGCTACAAAACATATTAAGTAATCATGAGGCTTAACAGCACTATAAGCTGTAGAGCAAATGAAAGTGATAGATTATAATTTAGTTAATGTATTGACAATCAAAACATCATATAGGTCATGCAAAATTGTCCTTTGAATATCCACCTATGAGCATCTATTAAACACTAAGTCATCCAGTAAAAAGCTTTACATTATAAAGCAAAATTACATGCACATAAAACACCCAATTTACTCCTTTAAACTCTATGCCCAAGGCTAAAGTTCACCAAACCTCAGTTTGGAATTGAAAAGAGCAGCCTCCAACAGGCCTGCCTGGACTGACAGCAGCAGAAACTAACCATGGTCTCAACAGATGCCAGGCTGAAGAGTTTCTTTTGAGTTACACATTTAAAAACCCATTTTAATATAACGTCTGGCTGGCACACAGAAAGCACCGCTACTTTCTCAAAATCCCATTTCCCTGCCCATAAACTAAGACCATATATGATAATTACTGAATGAAACAGTAAACTCAGTCTCAGCAATTATTTCCCTTAAAAAGAAAGAAATAAAAGCGCGAAATTTCGGCTTCAAGAACCTATTTTTTTGCATTGTGGGATCCTTTTCAATGAGTTTCCTTGCTGGATCGCCTCTCTTGCCCCCACAGAACCCAATAATCACATTTTAAGAGATTGTGCCCTTATCCATTCCATATGGCCGGCACGATCCAGGCCAAGCTTTCACTGTGACCTTTTAAAGAGACAAAGAAGCAAAGTACTATCTAGAAACAGAAACACTGCAGTTTTACTGAGTGAAATTAGCAAAACCGACCTGAAACTCACCACTTCAAAACTTGACAGCATATAAATAACAAAAACAAAGGAGATTTCCTTTGCAGCCCGGGTTCTTGAAGTGAAGTTCAAGACTGATGTTTTCTATGTCCTTTTTTTTTTTTTT